TTAATTTACTGATGAGGTAGAAAGAGAGACAGAGAACTTGGATCTGCTGGTTCATTCGCTGAATGTCTACAGCAGCCGGGGCTGGGCCGGGTCAAAGCTGGGACGTCGCATCTCCCATGTGGGTGGCAAAGCTGTCACCTGCTGCCTGCCCCTGGGGATGTACATCAGCAGGAGGCTGGGCGTGGGAGTGCAGCCAGGACGGGAACCCAGGCAGGCGGCCCAAGCAGTATGCCCACCCACATGTGGTCCCTGGTGCCCACAGGGAGGCGGCACTCACCGCCTCTCCACACACGTGGCGGAGTCCCCAAAGAAAGCGGCCTCCTCGTCTGTGCTGACGTCTGGGTGATGCCGCACATGGGTTATTCATGGAGGCGACAGCTTTGCTGTCTCTATTCTCTCTTTGTTTTTCTATCCTTCCCCTTTGTTTCCCATCTTGGTTTTCTGCCAAACAGCCTCTTGTGAAAGGACCGCCTAATTAACCCTGTGCTAATTAACAATTTAAAATTACACAGTGCGACTGTTCATGTTTAATTCTCTGGGAGCCCAAGCCCCCTCCCCTCTCTCCTCACTGCGCCCTCTCCCCCACAGCCTCTGAGTTAACTGTTGCATCTTGCCCAGCCCTGTCTCCCTAGAACAAGGTGCTGCCACGGTCACGGCACAGCCTTCTGAGTTAAGGAGAACCACGCCTGCCGGGTGCAGAGCTGCAGGGCAGCCTGGCAGGGGTCTGGCATTGTAATCATTGCAGGGTAAAAACTGAAACCTGGGTGGGGAGGCAGTTGAGAGGTCCTTGTTGAAGCTGCTGGAACTTTTTGGTACCTGATTCTGTCTCAAGTTCAGCAACTCAGCAGAGTGAGGGCAGGGGAGGACATGCACATTTTACCCAGGACTTTGTATGTCCTCCCCATAAGTATCTTGTTGGAGAGAGGCATCTGTTAAAGTCTACCTGGGCGATCGGAGCAGTGTTGTGGCACAGTGGGCCAAGCTACGGCCTGTGAGGCCCACATCCCACATGATCTCCAGTTCACCTCCTGGCTACTCCACTTCCAATCTAGCTCCCTGGTAATGGCCTGGGAAAAGCAGCAGAAGATAGCCCAAGTGTTTGGGCCCCGTCACCCAGGTGGGAGACCCACATGAAGCTTCTGCCTTCAGACTGGCACAGTCCTGGCAATGGGAGCCATCTGGGTCGCTAACCAGCAGAGGGAAGATCTCTGTCTTTCCCCCTTAACTCTGACTTTGAAATAAACACGTAAATAGATGTTATTGAAAACGTAAATGTACCTGAAAGGAAGCTGTGTGCCCTCGCTGTTTATACAGCTCATAGTAGAGTGCCTGAGTTCGCATCCTGACTGACTGCCTGGGAAGCATCAGTGAAGACTCGAGCAGCTGGGTCCCTGCCTCCCACGCGTCTGACTTGTGGCTTTGGTTTGGCCCTCCCCAGCCCTGCCCTGCTGCAGCTGTGGCAGGCAGCTGGGGAACGAACCAGCCGATGGGACTGCACTCTGAATCTGACCCTCTGTCTGTGGATGTCTCTGGTTTTTCCCTTTCAAATAAAAAATGTCCGAGGAGTTCTTGAAACACGCACACTGTAAAGTGCAGTGGTGGGGTCTTGAGTAGTTCACCGGGAGATTTGAAGGCGTGATCGCTGGAAGAGAAGTGGCCTGTGGCAAGGGGTGAGGGAGTGTGAGTGGGCTGGCCTTGGACTGAGGGGTGCAGAGCAGAGATGGGGTGCAGAGTCCTGAGGGTCCCTGATGGGATGCAGGCATGCATGGAGGGTGGCGCGGCTGCCGGTGAAAGCGCAGGGACCCCTTCGCTTCCCAGGCTGCCCTCTGTAACTGAAGATCATTGATTTTACGGGAAACCATGTTTACAGACAGAGTGCTGATCGACCTGCCGAGTTGACTTCTGCCTCCTTAAGTAAGAACTACCTTTTTCTTATTGACTGGCTGATAAACAGAGCGAGAGTGACGGCCCGCCTGCCCACTGGGTGGGTGGGAGAGTGGCGGATGCCCTGAGGTCCTTGAGCTGCACAGTTGGACTAGTGGAGAGAGATTTCTCTGTGTCCCTGCCCCCTCCATCCTGATCCGTGTACCTAGCAGGGACACAGAGTACCTGCTGCTCCTGTTGCCTGGCGGTTCAGGCTCTATGCTTGGCCGAGTCCAATATCTGCGGGCAGAGAAGAGCTCGCCCATGAATGCCAGCTGCCTGGGAATGGTGTGCAGGTGCCAATGCCGATGGCAGGAGGTGTGGGGTGAGCAGAGTGTGTACTTTTTTTTTAAGGCTTTATTTATTTTTATTCTAAAGGCAGATATACACAGAGAAGGAGGGACAGACTGGGTCACTATTCAAATGTCCGCAATAACTGGGGCTGAGCCAGCTGGAACCCAGGAGCTTCTTCTGGGTCTCCTGTATGGGTTTAGGGTCCCAAGAACTTGGGCTATTCTCCACTGCTTTCCCAGGCCATGACCAGGGGGCTGCATGGGAAATGGAGCGGCTGGGACGCAAACCAACACCCGTTTGGGATACTGGTGTTTGCAGGTAGAGGATTAGCCAGTTGATCAGGCCAGCACCAAGTGTATGCATTTTTCATAAGCTCCTAATGAGGACCAGCCAGTAGGCTGAGAACCACGCTTTATCAGCCCGAAAGCAAGGAAGCACGCGTGGCAGAAAGCCCGGAGCAGACAGCTTGGGTATCTTTAAAGTAGGATCCACGTTTGAAACTGGCGCTTCTCCTCTCCCCCAACTTTTTTTCTTTCCCCCAAAGATTGATCTGTTTATTTGAAAGACAGAATGATAAAGAGATATGGAGAGAGCTTCCATTTGCTAGTTCATTCCCCTGATGTCTTCCACTGCCAGGGCTGCGCCAGGCTGAAGCCAGGAGTCCAGAACACGATCCAGCCTTCCCAGTGCCACACTTGGAGGCGTTGTCTGCTGCTTTCTAGGTGTGTCAGTAGGAAGCTGGATCAGAAACAACATAGCTGGAACTTGAACCGGGGCCTCAGATGGGCGTGTTCCAAGCAGTGGCTGTAACCTGCCGTGCCACACCCCACCCTTCCACGTGAATGCTAGTGGGCTGTTTGTTGCCATTGGGTGAGTGAAACCCTGCGGTCCACAGCCTGGGGTTGTGTGCCTCCCAGAGATGGTTCCAATGCCCCCTTTGTCGACATCTCCTGTTTCAGATTAGAAATCAAACTGAGCAGATCGGGACAACTTGTGGAGGAGGAGAAAGAGGAAAGCCGAACAGGAAAAGCCCACCAATTAATTGGTAAACGCTTGCAGGTTTCTCTGGCCCGGCCCAGGCTGGAGAGGAGATTGGCTTTGCTGTCGATAAACAAGTCCCTGGTGCAGCATCAAAGCCGTTCTCCTTTATCAATCGTGGCCTCCCCTTCCCGCATGTTCCTGTAACTTACCAAGCATTTATGACATTGATTTTACAATCGGGCTGTTAACCCTCCCACCCCTTCAGGCCTGCCAACCTTTTTGGCTCAAGCTGTCAATCACAGGTGGGCCAGCCAATCAGCAGCATTCTTCAGAAAGAGCCTCTCTGGTTCTCACCTGCATGCATCCCCCTCCCATCCAGCTGTGCAGGAAGTCCACGGCTTCAGGTCGTCTTCTGTCTTCTCCCAGGCACCCATGCGGTTCTGAGCTTGCAGCCTGAGCCATGGGGGCTGTGGGTGGCTATGCACTGGGATTTTCACGAGATCATGGCACAGCTTTCCAAGAAGTGGTTTCTCCTAGGACTTAGGGTTAACCTGCCTTCCCTGTCTTTTCCCGAGGGGGAGCTGTTGGCTCACCATACAGTCAAGAATCAAGATGTTGGGGGGGAAAAAAGCAGACGGGTTGTTGGGGGAAGAGATAGAATTCCAAGCCGGGAAGACTTCCTCAGCTCTGTGTGAATGAAATAGCAAAGTGGGAGCAGGGAAGGAAGGGTGGTGGGAGTAGGGGAGTGGTATGCGTGGCAGTGCCCGTGATCATGGGCTGCCCTCCTGCGGGACCTGGCATCTCTGAGGGCAAACTCAGTTATACAGTGTTTTGGAGTTGGAAACGGAAAAGCCCCGGCACTGAATGACAGCTGCTTGGGCAGCAGCTAATTCAGAAGGAGGTGTGGAGCTGGTGGCTTGCCCAGCCCAGCTGCCCTCTTGGCTCAGCTCCTTCTGAGATCCTTGATGGCAGAAGCCGCTAAGTGCGTGGTGAGATGGTCACCACCACAGGGCAGCTGGGCCACCTGGTCCCCTTGGTTCTTCCTGGATACATCTAGCTCCTGGTTCCTGCTTTGGTGTTTAGTCTAAAGCTTGCCTCATAACGGATGGGGAGGAAGGCATGGGGAGTTGAGGGCCCTGTCTTGTCTGTTAATTGGTAGTGGTCAGGGTAGTGACAGGACCCCCTTGGTTTGACTGCTTGGAAAATGGGCCTGATGGAGCGCAGGTTTGCAGCCGGGGCCAGCCTAGGAACTTCCCAAACTGGACTGGCTTTCTCCAGAGGCAGTAAAACAGCCCCTGGGTGGGCCCTGTGAAGTGCGTTGGCAGCTGGAATGGCATCCATCTTGGCTGTCTAGGTGAGGCAGGTATGGCCTGTGTCGGGTGAGCAGGAGAGCCGGCCATCGGGCTCCTGGGTTTCACTCCTAGCACCCACTCAAAGCCGGGATGAACCAGGACAGGGCTGGCCGCTGGGGTGAAGTCAGGCAGGCCCGCTCCTGCCTCTGCCCCACTCTAACTGCAGGCCCTGATCCGGCGCCCGGACCCCCAACACCTGAACGCCCATGGGTGCTGCTGCCCGCTTGTTTGCCCTCCACATGCTGGGGGGTGCCGTCGCTGTGCCCACTCTCATGCCATGTAGCTTTTTGTGTTGTGGGTGTGGAAAGAGGGCTCTGCTGTGCGTGTGCGCGCGCCTGCGGGCGGGACCTGAGCCTCGGCCCTCCTAACCTCTTTCCTTTCTCTCTCTCTCTCTTTCTCTCTTCTCTTTCCCCTCTCTCCCTCCTCCCCACCCTTGCCTCCGCTCTTCAGGTCCGATCCGTACTGGGTGCAATGAAAGCTCCACGCAGGCCTTACCATGGAAGGCTGTGACTCGCCCGTCGTCTCGGGGAAGGACAATGGGTGCGGGATCCCCCCGCACCAGCAATGGACTGAACTCCACAGCGCCCACCTCCCCGACAAACCCGGTAGCATGGAGCAGCCCTCGGGCGACAGCCACGGGCCCTTGGACGGCCTGAGGGCCCCCTTCCCTGAGCACCTGGCGGACAGCGCTGGCCCCACCGGGCCTCCCGTCGCTGCTGCCGCCGCCGCCGCCACCGCCGAGCCCGCCAGCACGGAGGTCAGCTGCAGCGAGTGCTCGGCCTCCTTCGGCAGCTTGCAGACCTACATGGAGCACCACTGCCCCAGCGCACGGCCCACGGCCGCGCCCCTGCGCGAGGAGAGCGCCAGCGACACCAGCGAGGAGGGCGAGGAGGAGAGCGACGTGGAGAACCTGGCGGGGGAGATCGTGTACCAGCCCGACGGCTCGGCCTACATTGTGGAGAGCCTGAGCCAGCTGGCCCCGGGCATGGGCGCCTTGGCGGCGGGCGGCGGCGGTGGGGGCGCGGGGGGCGGCAGCGGGCCTGTACCTGCGGCGGCAGCATCGTCCTCGTCGGGGGGCTCGGCGTCGTCACCGCCGCCGCCGCAGCCGTCGCTTTTCCTGAACTCGCTGCCCGGGGCGGGGGGCAAGCCCGGGGAGTCGCCGTCTTCGTGTGCCACCGCCCCCGCCGCCGCCCCCGTGTACCCGCAGATCATCAACACTTTCCACATAGCCTCATCCTTCGGGAAATGGTTTGAGGGCCCAGACCCGGCGTTCCCGAATACCTCAGCCCTGGCGGGGCTCAGCCCCGTCCTGCACAGCTTCCGCGTTTTCGACGTGCGACACAAAAGCAACAAGGATTACCTGAACAGCGACGGCTCCGCCAAGAGCTCCTGCGTATCCAAAGATGTCCCCAACAATGTGGACCTGTCCAAGTTCGACGGCTTCGTGCTCTACGGCAAGCGGAAGCCCATCCTCATGTGCTTCCTGTGCAAGCTCTCCTTCGGGTACGTCCGTTCGTTTGTCACCCACGCGGTGCACGACCACCGCATGACCCTGAGCGAAGACGAGCGGAAGATTCTTAGCAATAAGAACATCTCCGCCATCATCCAAGGGATCGGCAAAGACAAGGAGCCCCTCGTAAGTTTTCTGGAACCAAAAAACAAAAACTTTCAACACCCCTTAGTTTCCACAGCTAACCTCATAGGCCCCGGACACAGTTTCTATGGTAAATTCAGTGGCATTCGCATGGAAGGGGAGGAGGCCCTCCCGGCCCCTGGCACCGCCACGACTGCCGCTGCCACCGCCGCTGCCACCGCGGCTGCTGCTGTCCCCACCGGCAGCCCAGAGCAGCCCCAGGCCGGCCTCTTGAACCCCGGCGGGCTCACCAGCTCGGTCCTGAAGACCCCCATTACCTCAGCCCCCCTGGGGCCTCTGGCTTCCAGTCCTACCAAATCCTCAGAGAGCAAGGACTCCGGGGCAGCCGAAGGGGAGAAGCAAGACGCAGCCGACGCGGACTGCTTCTCCGAGAAGGCAGAGCAGGCCGAGGAGGAGGCCGAGGAGGAGGAGGAGGAAGAGGCAGAGGAAGAGGAGGAAGAGGAGGAGGAAGAGGAAGAGGAGGAAGAGGAGGATGACGAGGGTTGCAAAGGACTGTTTCCAAGCGAGTTGGACGACGACCTGGAGGACAGGCCCCATGAGGAGTCTGGAGCCGCGGCAGGTGGTAGCAGCAAAAAGGACCTCGCTCTCTCAAACCAAAGCATTTCTAACTCCCCCCTAATGCCTAACGTGCTCCAGACCCTGTCGAGGGGCACGGCTTCTACTAGTTCTAATTCTGCTTCTTCCTTTGTTGTCTTTGATGGTGCGAACAGGAGGAATCGTTTAAGCTTTAACAGTGAGGGCGTCAGGGCCAACGTGGCAGAGGGCGGCAGGAGGCTGGACTTCGCTGACGAAAGTGCCAATAAAGACAATGCCACAGCACCAGAACCAAATGAAAGCACAGAGGGCGAGGATGGGGGCTTTGCACCCCATCACCAGCACGCTGGCTCCCTCTGCGAGCTTGGGGTCGGGGAGTGCCCCTCGGGGAGCGGTGTGGAATGCCCCAAGTGTGACACAGTCCTGGGCTCCTCCCGCTCACTGGGTGGCCACATGACCATGATGCATTCTCGTAACTCGTGTAAGACACTCAAGTGCCCCAAGTGCAACTGGCACTATAAGTACCAGCAGACGCTGGAGGCACACATGAAGGAGAAGCACCCCGAGCCAGGGGGCTCCTGTGTCTACTGTAAGAGCGGGCAGCCCCATCCCCGGCTGGCACGAGGCGAGAGCTACACGTGTGGTTACAAGCCTTTCCGCTGCGAGGTGTGTAACTACTCTACAACTACCAAAGGCAACCTCAGTATTCATATGCAGTCCGACAAGCATCTCAACAACATGCAGAACCTGCAGAACGGAGGGGGGGAGCAGGTGTTCAGTCACACAGCCGGGGCGGCGGCCGCAGCTGCCGCTGCAGCAGCGGCCGCTGCCAACATCAGCAGCTCCTGTGGGGCCCCCTCGCCCACCAAACCAAAAACCAAACCCACCTGGCGCTGTGAGGTGTGTGACTACGAGACCAACGTGGCCAGGAACCTGCGCATCCACATGACCAGCGAGAAGCACATGCACAACATGATGCTGCTGCAGCAGAACATGACGCAGATCCAGCACAACCGGCACCTGGGCCTGGGCAGCCTGCCCTCGCCCGCCGAGGCCGAGCTCTACCAGTACTATCTGGCCCAGAACATGAACCTGCCCAACCTGAAGATGGACAGTGCCGCCTCCGATGCCCCGTTCATGATGAGTGGATTCCAGCTGGATCCCACGGGGCCCATGGCTGCCATGACACCTGCTCTAGGTGAGGCTGTGTGTGTGTGTGTGTGTGTGTGTGTGTGTGTGTGTGTGTGTGTGTGTGTGTGTGTGTGGAGTTGGAGGGGTGTGTAGGAGAATGGGCTGAGTGAGTTCTTTTGATCTGTGGTGAGGTTTTTGTCTTTCCGAGTTGCTTTGTGTAAGTTGGAAGATCTTGAAATCAAGTTCCTCCCTACCCCCCCACCAACTTGTCCCAAAGAACCTCACAAACTCATATCTGTGGGCCAGTAGATGATTTTACACAGTTACAACAAAGATGGAAATTGTAGTGGGCTACAGAGGGCCACAGTTGAAATGGGAATGTTCACTCCAATGTTCACTCCAGTGTTGGGTGGATGGTCCACCTTGCTTTCTGTACCCACTTCCTCCTCCTCTGTTTCTCCATCTGAAAAATCATCATCCTTTCCAACTTTCAGGTTCCATTAAATATTGATCAAAACTTACAGGAAATTATAGATGGAAAACTTAACCAGGGGTGGTCATCATCATAGGAGTGATCTGAGACCATGGTGTATGTAATTCACCTAACCAGGGGCTGGTTCCATGTTGAGCTGGGGGCCACCCAGACCAGGTTTCCTAAAGTTCCCTGTGGATTCCCGAAGGCTGACAATGCAAGGGACTGCGTTCGTTTTATTTGATATCTGGTGGAGAAGTTGTTGGTGATTAGTGTACTTGGGACTTAATTGGGAATTAAATTGCCCTGGGGACATTGTATTGAGTGTCGTGATAGATGAGAAATGAATAAACTGTAGAATTGTCTATCAAAGAAAGCAAGGTTTTCAGAGCAGCTGGATCCTGGCTCATGGAGCTCACGGTTGGTTGCCATGAAGATGGCACACGTTAGTGACGCGGAGTGGGCTGTGTCCACCCACCCAGAGCTGCCAGTTGGCTTAACGTTTGGAGAAGAGGAGCCAGTGTATACAAGGACACTTCAGAAAGTTTGTGGAAAATGCAGGTGTTAACAAAAGTTGTGCGTGAGTTTCATAGCTTTTTGCATTCGGATAAACATCTGTAATTTCCCCATTTCCATGAGCTTTTTGAAGTTCCTTCTCACTGAGAAGGAGGAGTCTTTGGATAGGAGGGATCATGAACTTGGCAGCTGCTATGGCCAGTGCGTGCCACTGCTGTTCCGACCCCTTGGGTCTCAGCTGGGCCCCTGCCCGATCTCTGTTCCCTGACCCTGCCGGTCAGCCTTTTGGGGACCAGGGTGACAGCTGAAGAAGTCAGTGGTGTTTCATTACCGACCTGGGAGCAGATGTCCTTCACAGCAGGGTATGAGCAAGTGCCTGGCTCTCGGTGGACGCGGTGGGCAGGCAGCAGTCACATAACCCCTCACCAGCCTCAGGCCTTCATGTGTGTAATGTTTTGATGCTGCTTTTTTCTGATAAGTTACATTTCAGAGTATTCAGTTTTTTTTTTCCTGCTCTGCATTTATATTGGAATCCTTGATACTTTAATCTTGTTTTCATTTTGAAGCATTCACTTGTTGGCCCTGCTTGAACATGTAGTTTGAAAAAACTTCATTGAGTGGTCAGTCATAGATACGTAAGGAGAAGGTGTCTTGTGTGTCGCCAGCTGGAACCCTGCACACCAAGGGTGGACATCTGTATCCTGGAGTGCACCAGAAATGGAAGTATTGTACTCTGGTGACAGATCTGGGGGAAGATCAAGGCTAATGTGGGTGGAACAAAGACGCAGAAGATGGATGGGTTCTCATCAGGAACCTTGAAATTAGCTGACAGAGTTGAATTGAGAAGTAGGAAATATTTGTCTTTGACATCCAGTGTCGATGAACCTGTTGGGCAGCAGGTACTGTCCTGTGCCTTGCAGAGGGAAGGGAGCATCCCTGTGTTCTAGAAGAGTCACACTTGCTTTCTCAGGTCAGAGCTGTGCCTCGTGGAGACTGAACAGCTCACAAGAGACAGGTCGTTGGCACCCCGTGTCTTCCTTGGTCTTGAACCGTTGCAATGAGTTGAGCCTGAACACATCCGGCTGCAAATGGGTGTGAGGATGAGAGGAAGTGTCCAGAGGGCTTCATTTAAGTTGGTTTTATTAGCAGATGGAAACAGCCTTTTTCTTTTCTTTTCTTTTTTTATTTTTTTAAAGATTTATTGGAAAGTCAGGTATACAGAGAAGATCTTCCGTCTGCTGACTGACTCCCCAAGTGGCCGCAACAGCCAGAGCTGAGCTGGTCTAAATCCAGGAGCTTCCTCCGGGTGTCCACATGGACTGCTTTCCCAGGCCACAAGCAGGAAGCTGGATCGGAAGCAGGACTGCCGGAATTAGAACTGGTGCCCGTATGAGATCCTGGCACATACAAGGCGGGGACTTTGGCTGCTAGGCTACTGGGTCGGCCCCAGCCTTTTTCTTTATTGACTGTAGGCCTCCTGCCCTGGGGTCCCCCAGCCTAGGGGGCTGAATTAGTCCGTTCTGCCCTAATGGACGTGTAGGGGGAAAGTGGATGTGTAGGGAGGAAGGCGTCTTGCGTGCCCACAGTCCCAATGTTGCACACCAAGCTTGGGCTTCTGTATTCTAGACTTGTTTCTAAGAATGAGAGAAACAGGAAGTTTTCTAATAATCTGGCTGCAGATCAAGGGTAAAACAGGCATGATGTGGGTGGAACAAAGTTCAGAAAATGGATGAGTCCGAGCGAGACCGTTCTAATGATCTTGGAATTAGGTAACTGAGGCTCGAGTTGAGAAGTAGGGTTGAGAAGCTGAGAAGTGTGACTTCCATACCATGTGTCTGTGAGCTGGTTCCTGAGGATTCTAAGCCTTGTGTGTGTCTCTGTGAGGGGAAGTTCTTGGAATCCTCCTGACTTGTATCAGCGCTCCCCTGCTTCTGTCTGGCTTGCATTTTGTCTTGTGAGGCGGGAAAGGAAACGGAGACTTCCTCTCCTTGGCTTGCAGACTTTTCATGCTTCTCAGGCAGGCAGGCAGGCAGCAAGTGACAGCTGAGGTTCTTTTTAGAGCTGTTGTGATGCACAGAGGTTAGGTTTAAAAGAGGGGAGGGAAGTCGATTCTGCAGGTGGTTGACATCAGAAACAAATATGTGTTTGCTCCTCGTCTTGCCTCTGTTGGTTCCTGCTTTAAGTGAGTCCCCGGTGTCTGGGGATGGTTGCCTGGCCCTCTTGGCCGGGTTAGTGGGGATAGAGCTCCTCCCTAGGCCCCTCCCTGCTCCCTCTATAGTCCTTAAAAGTAGAGCATCGCCATTCCAGCTCCTTCCAGCAGGGAAGATGCTGGAAGACAGAGTTTTCCCCAGCTTTCTGGGATGTGTGTGTGGAGTGTTTCTGGAACTCAGGTGACTGCAGCTGTCCACAAACTCCCTGTGCAGGTGGTAGGTCTGGTAGCATCTGTCCCCCTCTCTTTCGCTTAAGTTTCCTTGTGTGGTATAAATAAAAACACAGATTTTTTTTTTTTTAATAAACAACTTTTCTTTGATGGGCCACTCATTTGGATTCTAATCAGTCATTAAAAATAGCCTCAGTCCAACCACATGTAAAAGATCAAGTTTAAGTGCCACGTGATGGTGAAGTGGGGGGCGGGGTGTTAGAGGCTGACAGCTCCAGTGTGTGCTGAGGGCAGAGGCTGAGGCAGTGCTCCGCTTCCTGGGTGACAACTTCAAGGGACCGGAGGGAAGGCGGCTGCTCTCTCCAGGCATTGCTCGTGGTGCGAATAAGATCTTGTGCTATTAATACATCGCCAGCGAAGTGGATCCTGTTCCCGATCTGTGTTGGGGAGTGATGGGCTGAAAAAGCTCTGGGCAGGAGAGGGCAGCTGGTCTTTCTTGGACCCTTTTTCTGGACTGTGAGCTGACCCTCCTGTTTCACTGCCCATGTCATTTCCTTTTCCTTTTTAAAAAATTTTCTTTATGTGTGTATGTCTTAGTTTTTTCTTCTTTATATATATATACATACACACAATATGAGAAGGAAGGCAGGGGGCCAGCACGCCGCACGGTGATGTTCTTGCCCCAAAGGGTGGGTTGAGAATTAGGGAGGTCATTCCTGAAGTTCTGACTTAAAAGCGCTTCCAGCCAACACCGTAGCCATTGGCCAGCCATATCTGTCTACATTTAAGTTATTGAAAATATTTTTTTTTAAGATTTATTTTATTTTTATTGGAAAGGCAGATATACAGAGAGGAGAGACAGAGAGGAAGATCTTCCGTCCGATGATTCACTCCCCAAGTGAGCGCAAAGGTCAATGCTATGCCGATCCGAAGCCAGGAGCCTCTTCTGGGTCTCCCACGTGGGTGCAGGGTCCCAAAGCTTTGGGCCGTCCTCGACTGCTTTCCCAGGCCACAAGCGGGGAGCTGGATGGAAAGAGGGGCCGCCGGGATTAGAACCAACACCCATATGGGATCCCGGGTGTTCAAGGCGAGGACCTTAACCACTGCGCCACCGCGCCAGGCCCAAAAATATTTTTTTTAAATTTTCATTTGATTTGTGAGGGAGAGGGGTTTGAAGGGGGAAGGTCTTTCATACACTGGCTCATTTCCCAAATATCCTACAACAGTGGGTGCTGGACTGCCAGAGCTCTAGAGCCTGAAACTCACTCTGGGTAAATAGGGACCCACCTAGTTGAACCATCCAGTGCTGCCTGCCAACGTGTCCATTAGCTGAAACCTGATTGGAAGTGAGGGCAGGACAGAAACACAGACACTGTGATACAGGATGCAATTTCCCAAGCAGTGTCTTAACCATAGCACCAAACACCCACCCTCTAAATCTAATCAAAATTAACACCTCAATTCCTTGCCTGCAACAGCCATACTTCAGCTTTGCATTAGCCAGCTGTGACCACTGGCCACCTGGTTGGACAAGACAACTGCAGAATGTCCTTGTCATTCCAAAAAAGTGCTGAGGGATCAGCCCACTTCTGATACATCTGGGCGTCCCCATACAAGCTTAGTATCTAACCTTTCCAGTTAGGTGGAGTCTGGTGTTTCCAATTCTGTGCCCAGTGAATGATGTGTGTGTCTGACCCACCTTGAGTATTGTAGAGGGGATGGGTTAAAACATTGCACACTTGCAGTTCCAGACATGTCAAGTGCACTTGTTTTCTGTCCCCCCAGCCAGAGGGCGTCATCCAGCTGTTGCACTGTGTTATCCTTTGGTGCTTGGACCTGGGCTGAGGGTGGCTGAGGCCGGGGTGGTATCTTGGCTGTGGCTGCTGTGAGCCTGGCGTCTGATTCTTTCTCTTTGCTTCCCTGCAGTGGGCGGTGAGATCCCTCTAGACATGCGGCTCGGGGGCGGGCAGCTGGTGTCGGAGGAGCTGATGAACCTGGGAGAGAGCTTCATCCAGACCAATGACCCATCACTGAAGCTCTTCCAGTGCGCCGTGTGCAACAAGTTCACAACGGACAACCTGGACATGCTGGGACTACACATGAATGTGGAACGCAGCCTCTCGGAGGACGAATGGAAGGCCGTGATGGGAGACTCTTACCAGTGCAAGCTCTGCCGCTACAACACCCAGCTCAAGGCCAACTTCCAGCTGCACTGCAAGACGGACAAGCACGTACAGAAATACCAGCTGGTCGCCCACATCAAGGAGGGTGGCAAGGCCAATGAGTGGAGGCTCAAGTGCGTGGCCATTGGCAACCCCGTGCACCTCAAGTGCAACGCCTGTGACTACTACACCAACAGCCTGGAGAAGCTGCGGCTGCACACGGTCAACTCCAGGCATGAGGCCAGCCTCAAGTTGTACAAGGTAAGACTCGGCTCCCTGGGAACTAGGCCTCCTTCCTGCCCTATGCAGCTGGAGATGGGGGAGGGATGGGCAGGCTGCCATGAGTAGGTCATTCCTTTATTTGTTCATTCAGCCACCAGGTGTCTGTTGAGTGTTCAGGCATGCACATGCATCCACACATGAGATATGCAGAAAGAGCCTGGCCCTCCTGGAACTTCCGTTCTTCCAGTGGGTGACAGACACTGGACACTGTGGCTTTGAAGGTGGTCTGTGCCAGGTGGAGGAGTCAAGGCAAATGGGGGGCTCCTGTCCTACTCTTTTTTTCTCTCCATTCCTCTGTTATTTGTCTTCCTTTCTGTTCCTGTTCTCATCTTTTCCTTCCTTTTCTGAACATTCCTCCTCCTTGGCTTCTTTCCTTTTCCTCCTCCTGCTTGTCTTCCTTTTATTTCTTAGGTATTTGAGAGGTAGAGAGATTTAAAAAAAATGCCCGCATCGACTGTTCTGCAGATGACTGTAGCACGCCTGGGAGGGTTGGGACGGCTGAAGGGGAAGTGGGGAACTCAGTCCCAGTGTCTCCCTTGTGGGTGACAGGAAGCTGGCTCCTGGAGTTATCACTGCTACCTCCTGAGGTCTACCTGAGTGGGAAGCTGAGATCCAGAGTTGGAGACACCTGTCAGACCCGGGCTGCTCCGCTGGGGCATGTGGGCACGCTCACTGGTGTCTGCACCACTGGGCCAAATGCTTGTCCTGTACGGCTTCCCTCTGCCCCGCTCCTCCCATCCCAAGCCTTCCCTCCTCTCAGCCCTGTAGACGGCAGCAGAGCAGGAGGTGCAGTGGATGCTGTAAATAGTCGTTTTGCTCGCATGGCAGAATTGCTCCAGACGTTTCTATTGATTTTCGCTGGACTTAGAGCCTCACCTTTCTCTCTGATCACCCCCTAATGGCTTTAGTATGAACCATCAGGTAGGAAGCGTCATAAATCTTCCCAGCCTCCTCCTGAGCCCCTGCTGTGCCCGTATGCCCCTTTGCCCTCACTCGCATTCTCAGCCACTCCTCTCCTCTTTGCTGGCATTTCTCCCGTGTCTGGGTCCCCCGCTATGTGGCGCCGCAGGTCCAGAACTGGTCTCAGCTGCTTTCTGTTCAAGGTGGCTTTCCCATGGCCATTGCACATCAGGAGGCCCTCTGGTCCACTCCCCGGTCTGTTCTCTGCAAGATCAGTCCCTGCCATTCTTCATACACTTGCTCGTTCCCGGGGTGGTGGGAGGCCTGTGGAACACGGGCAAGATATCATTGTAGGGAAAGAGGAAGCAGGAACGCGGTCGTGGGACTAGAAAGTTAAAAATGGCCTGCCAAGGATTCAGTGGGGGCGGGGCTGGTCACCGCACAGCTAGCTGCCTCGTCTCAAATGGACCTGGTTTACTTGCCGCCGTTGAAAGAAGAGGCTGTGTGTAGGCACTTGCCGTCGGCTGTCTAAAGGGGCAATAGGATGGAACTGATATGGCCAGGAAAAACCTGATGGGAAACAACGACAGAAGACCACTTGGTGGAAAAGAGTGTTTCCGAAGGACCAGGGTCGTAGCACAGGTCTGAGTGCGGGTGTTGAAGGTTGCCTGCGGCTTTGGCGCAGGGTGTTTATAGAGGTGACACGGAGCTGGCTGCCCTGACCGCTGCAGAAGGCATGCAGTGCTGGTCAGCTGTCCCCGTGCAGAGGTGAGCAGGTGCTTGGTGTTGCTCCTCAAGGCCCTGATGTCTGGAATGTTTGCTGAGAAGTTTACTGCTTCGGTCCCCAAACTGTGTTCGCAGCTCCCGTCTGGAGATGCCTTCCGGGGATAGACGCAGGGAGTGGCAGGGGAAGCTGTCTTGTCTCTGTATGTTTTTGCACAGAGGGCTCCAGTCCCTTACCCTCCTTTGTCCAGATTTTTCTTGTCTTAATTTTTAAGATGGAGGGAACTCCTACTTGAAATATGCAGAGCAGGTCAGTGGCTCCTGGTGCTGGGATGTAGGGCTGGCACTGCCCCCGAGGGAGAGGCACTGCCAGCCTGACGGGTTTGCCTCGCAACCTGCCTCGAGCTGACCCACCCTGGAGGTTCCGGGCTGCGCTGCCTGCATCAGGAGCAAAGGTCGTTCGTCTGCTCTCATTAGTCCTTGGGTAATGAATGTCCCTCTGCTGGCTGAGGCCCTGCCGTGGGGGCAGGGCATTCTGCTGTGCCCTCCTGGTGGGCACTGTCCCCAGCCCTTCTTGTGCCTCTGCCCTTGTGGCCTTGAGAGACTTCCCTGGCCACCAAGAGGGTCTCCTTGTCCTCCGGCGTCCCAGTGCGTGGCTTTGGGGTGGGGCTTGGAGGTAGCGCAAGGCCTTGTTTCTCTAGGCCCTGGTGAGGCCGGTAGTAAATGGAGATTGATTGCATGTTATTTTTCCTCTTGCTAATGTAATCCATTAGCCCCGCACATGCATAATCAGGTTTGGAGCACAGTTAACTGGATGTAATCGAGTTCTTTACTGTCTGCTGCAGAAAGCGCTCCAGATGCAGCTGACCCCGTGCTGGGCGCCCGGCTGCTCACCCACAGCCCCTTGCTCATGCCTTCCCCACTCCATCCGCTTCCCTGGCACCTTAGCTGTGATTGGCTGGGGGTCATCTACTGCATTTCCTGCAGAGGCCCCGGGGACCGTGGCATCTCTACCGGGGCTTTCTTTTCCTCTCCCTTTCGTGGGTTAGTGGAGATGTGTACGGTGTGATCCACTGTCCTGCTAATGTCTTTTGACCTCACGTGGATCTGCAGTCACGGCCATTAATGTTATCAACACTAGTGTCAGTTGAACGTCCCTCATCTGAATCGCTAAAACCCCAAATCCTCTAAAACCTGAAACATTTTGAGTGTCCTCGTGATGGCACAAGTAGAGAATTACACAGCTTACCTTATGGATGAGTCGTAGGCAAAATGCAAGCACCTGGGATTGGTGTTGTGGTTAATGGGTAACACCATCCCTTCAACACTGGCATCCCACGTGGGCATCTGTTTGTGTCCCAGAGGCTTCATTTCTGATCCACCTTCCTCCTACTGGCTTAGGAACATCAGCAGAGGGTGGCCTAAGTGCTTAGGACCCTGCACCCAAGTGGGAAACCTTCTTGGCTCCAGACTTTGGCCTGGCCCAGCCCTGGCTTTTGGTAGCCGTCGATAGAGAGAACCAGTGGATAGAGAACCTCCTTCTCTCTGCCTCTCTCGTGTTTGTTTGAAAAGCAGAGTTGGGGAGAGAGGCAGAAACCAAGGGGGATCTTCCATGTACTCAGATCACAGCGGCTGGAGTTGAGCAGATCAGAAATGGAAGAGCCAGGACTCTAAGTGGTAGCGATATGTGATGTCAAAACTACAGGTTAAGCCATAGCACTGACCTCCAAACCAGTAAATCTTAAAAATAAAAAAGCCGCAAGCACGTTAGGGTACATGCCACGGCCTTTGCGACCCACTTGGGAGTCCCGGGTGGAGTTCCAGGCTCCTGGCTTCAGTCTTGCAGGCATTTGGGGAGTGAGCCAATAAATGAAATATCTGTCTCTGTTTGTCTCTTTATCACTGTGCCTTTGAAGTAAGTGAGAAACAAGTAAAAATTTAAAAATACAGAAGCATAATACTATAAATATTGTGTAAAATTACATCCAGGCTGTGTATACAAGGTGTGTATGGAACACAAAAGAATTTTGGGGTCATTCCTAAGATTACTCATTTTGCATATTTGCAAATATTTTGAAACCCCAGTTAGTGTGAAATCGAAAGTACTTCTTGTTCCAAACTTTTCTTCTAAGGGAATTTTAACTTGTACTATATTTCTGCTTTGGGCTGAAGTTACTAAAGGCGTGATTTGCAAGGGTGTGTGTGTGGAGGGAGGAGTGGGATGGAGTCCTCCACACCCCCAGCTGTTGGAGCTGTGATGCTTGGTACCGTCCAGCTTGGGTGGCTGTGTGTGAGCAGTATTGCATGGCGATCAGTGTCCCCCATGTTGTTCTGTTGAGCACTCAGCAGGAGAGCCCTTTCCATGTCACTGGTCCCCCACCCCTGGTTACTTCTGCGTTCCTTGGGTGTGTCTTGGTTCTGAATGTGGCTGGCTCTGGCCTGGACTCTTGTCGTCTTTGCTGTCCTGTATCCAGGGGTTCCCGTGATCAGTGCTGGGTGAGTCAGGAGGGTCAGACACTCCAGGGACACTTTACAGCTAGACCTGTGTTTTCCGTCCTGAGCACCTGCTCTGGAAGCTGGTGGTGGAAAGGGCCGTGTTCCTCCCCAGGGCGGAGCTGCAGCAGCTTCCTGCCACATTGCCTCCTGACCACATGTAAACATACCCTACTTGTCCAGCCATCCACTCACAGAGATACGGGAAGGCTGTTACTGGCCAGTGCCTACCCTGTGCTGCCTCAGGCTGCTTGCTGCTTCAGGTCCCCAGGCCCTGGTGTGCAGGTGCAGAGCCAGTGCTAGCTCTGCTGTATCTCCCTTGCCCTCCTCAGCTGCCCAGCACCACTGTTTGTGGGGAGAGGCATGGGTGGGAGCAGAGCAGAAAGGAAGGTGGCTGTCAGAGTCAGGTCATCACTTTGATGTCTTCATCTGAGTGTCATCATCCTTACGGAAAGCCATCAGCTTTACAGACGAGGGATGAAGACTCCACCTGAATACCATCAGTAGAGGAGTCCCAACTCCCTGCAGGGTTTTCAGCACATTTCCGTTACTTAGGTTCTACACAGGGAGGGTTGTGTGCTCTCTTGTCAGGTCCTGTCTGCATGTTAGCTGCCCTGGGTCAGGGAGGTGGGCAGCCAGTGTCCAGGCCAACTTGGCTTGGCTGGAAGGAGGAAGGAGAGAATGGTGTGCTTTGCTAACACACACACACACACACACACACACACACACACACACACACACACTTCATTGTGCATTGTGGACATGGACTCTGGTCTTCCTCTGAGACCACAGGGATGTGGAAAACCCTTCCTGGATTCTGTGCCATTTCAGAATCCTTCCTTTAGAGCTCCTGCTGAAGAAAC